AAACCTGGCAACAAAAACCAGCCCCAACAAACCAAACCTGGCAACAAAAACCAGCCCCAACAAACCAAACCTGGCAACAAAAACCAGATCCGCACCAAACCCCAGAACTCGTGAGCAGATCTGGAGAAATAAGGAGGATTCTGAGGTTTGGACGGTGAGGAAACCTGAAAATAATTCTACTTTGGAAAACTGTGGAGCTTCGATTTATATTTGTACAGAAAGTCTCGAAAATCCAAGTCCAAAAAGTGAAGAGGAGGTCGTTTTGATCAGACGTGTGCGAGGAGACAGTGGGTTTATACAAAATGGTTCTTCTCACTTCAGCAGGAAAACCGAGAAGAACTGTGCAAAGGGTGAACAAGATATCAGGACTTTTGTGGACACTGGTACTTCTGCTGCTACTTCAGAGTTTAGTCAAATGTGCACTTTACAAAACGGTGCCCCGGTCCGGAGTCTTGGACCAGTGGAAGGTTCTGGACACAGACGTGAAATCGATGACGTGATCTGGGAGAATTTGGACGCGTCGCAAAACGGAGGAGACGTCTTGAGGTTTGAAAACCATCAGAACTCCTGGATGGAAAACCTGGAAAACCTGGGCTCGTACCGGAGTCGAGCGACGAACGTCGGGAACTGCAGAGAAAACGTCTGGAGTCTGAGGAACACGGAGAAGCACCAGGGAACCACGGAGGAGCAGGACGGAAGTGTGACGGGGGTTTGTGTGAAGGGGAGTCCTGGTCGTTCTGGAGGTGTCCTGAGCGTGGAGGAGCAGTGTATGGAAGTCTACGGACAAAATGTGAATGTTCCGGGTGAGATTTGGCAGAGGAGCGTCAGTTTTGGAGCAGACGTCCAGAGGAGAGCGTCTGCGTCAGAGGAGGAGAACGTGACGGAGAAAACACCCGTGAAAAAACCACCCAGACGAAAGAAACTGAACCAGAACCTCCTGATGCAGAAGGAGACACTGAGGTGCTCCTCATCCTCTCCCTCCTCCTCATCTCCTCCTCTCCTTCCTCCTCGTTCTCCTCCTCCTCCGAGAGCGAGACTGTGATGTCAGAGGAATCGAGTCGTCTGATTGGCTGGAGCCGTCTGTCCCTCAGCAGCGCGTTGTCCACCGACAGCCTCAAGGGGGAGCTGTCCCCGCCCCACCTGCTCATCCAAGAACCAGGAGAAGAAGAAGACAAGTCCACCTTTAGTCCCTGGGTTAGTCCTGGTTTAGTCCTGGTTTAGTCCCTGGTTTAGTCCTGGTTTAGTCCTGGTTTAGTCCTGGTTTAGACCTGGTTTAGTCCTGGTTAGTCCTGGTTTAGTCCTGGTTTAGTCCTGGTTTAGACCTGGTTTAGTCCTGGTTTAGTCCTGGTTTAGTCCTGGTTCAGTCCTGGTTTAGTCCTGGTTTAGTCCTGGTTTAGTCCTGGTTTAGTCCTGGTTTAGTTCTTGTATATTACAGCACAGTGGCAGAGTGGTTGACACTCTCACCTCACAGTGAGAAGGTCCCAGGTCTTTCTGTGGAGTTTGCATGTTCTCCCTGTGTCTCTGAGCTCAGGTCCTGACCAAGACCAAGACCAAGACCTGGAGATGATCCTGAGCCCAGAGACACAGAGGACGTGTCCTGTAATAAAGGTTTAAGGTTCATCTTAAATGTGAGAGTCTTTTCTTCTTCAGACGTGTTTGGAGGAGTTTCTGCTGACGAGGTCACAGTTCCAGCTCAGACTCGGAGCACAGACGATCTGTTCGCCGTCATCCACAGGTACAAAAACACAAACACACCGAGAAGAACCACAACCACAACTTGAAATCATTTAAAATAACATTTCATTTGTTTCATTTAAACGTTTGGCCCGGTCAGTGCTGTGTGGGAGGGAACCGTGTGAAAGGGACTAAAGGTACCGAGTCCACAGTCCAGACCTGAGTCCAGACCTGAGTCCAGACCTGAGTCCAGACCTGAGTCCAGACCAGACCTGAGTCCAGACCTGAGTCCAGACCTGAGTCCAGACCTGAGTCCAGACCAGAGTCCAGACCTGAGTCCAGACCTGAGTCCAGACCTGAGTCCAGACCTGAGTCCAGACCTTGAGTCCAGACCTGAGTCCAGACCTGAGTCCAGACCAGAGTCCAGACCTAGAGTCCCCAGACCTGAGTCCAGACCTGAGTCCAGACCTGAGTCCAGAGTCCAGACTTGAGTCCAGACCTGAGTCCAGACCTGAGTCCAGACCTGAGTCCAGACCTGAGTCCAGAGTAGAGCCCAGTGTGTGCCTGACCCGCTCTCCTCCGTCCTGTTATAATATTCTGTAGTTGTGTACTTCTGTACTTTGTGTAGTTGTGTACTTCTGTACTTCTTGTGTACTTCTGTAGTTGTGTACTTGTGTACTTGTGTACTTGTGTACTTCTGTAGTTGTGTACTGCTGTACTTGTGTACTTGTGTACTTCTGTAGTAGATGATGTTGTTTTTCTAGACATTTCAAATCTCAGTATTGATCCTTTGAGTAAAGGATGTGCGTTTGCTCAGGAGGACGAGGCGTCGCCATAAACATCAGACTAAAGCTCCTCGTGGAGACACAGAACACAGATCTGTCCTGCCAAGGCCAAAGGCAGAAACACACTTTACTCTTATTTTAGTCTCATGAGACAAAAACAGAACAGAGATTTATAAATCAGATCACATTTGAGCTCAGTATTTTTCACATATAAATATTTCTTTCATTAAAGCGACGATTGTCAGATTTTGTGGGCCTGAACTATTTTACTTTTGTCTGGACAAACAGAAACTTTAAAGTGATTTTTCTCAGTTTGACTCTCTGGAGAGTTAATGTCTTTTGCCTTTGTAGAGGAGAGATCTGCCAAACACACAGGAAACACCCGAAACACCACTTTGAGAGGTGAAAAAAAGAGAAAACAGTAATATTATGGTTCAAGTTTCCTGTCTGAGATATAGATGTTGATACTATTTATTGTATCACACATGTTTCTGTTCTAATGTTCTAATCCTTAGTCCACATGACCCTGCCCCAGTGTCACCGCCACTAACCCTCTGTACACACACGTGTGTGTGTATATATATGTATATACACGTGTGTGTGTATATATGTATGTATATACACACGTGTGTGTAACCTGTATTACTCTTGTGTGTCGTGTGTCGTGTTGTGAAACTCTCTGTTTGTTTCTGTTTCTCAGGTCCAAGAGGAAGATGTTTGGGCGTAAAGACTCCGGCATATTCTCCTCCTCCTCCTCTTCTTTTTCTTCTTCCTCCTCCTCCTCGTCTTCCTCCCCCTCTCCTCCCGTGACCCCCGCTGACCCCCGCCCTGCGCCCAGAGTTCAAAGGTCACCTCAGGCTCACAGTTTTAAGGCGCTGCTCTTGAAGAAGGGCGTCCATTTTGGCTCCGTGTCGCGTGTGTCTGCGGTGGACCGTCTCTGCCGACCCCTGACCCCTCTACGACCTCTGACCCCGCCCTGTGGACCTCTGACCCCGCCCTGTGGACCTCTGACCCCGCCCTGTGGACCTCTGACCCCGCCCTGTGGACCTCTGACCCCGCCCTGTGGCGCCGGCCACTGGTTCTCGACTCGGACCCGCGTCCACGCCGCTCCCATGGCGGCCATCTTGGAACGCCACGACGAAGAGCAACAAGACGAGGAGAAGTACGAAGACGAAGACGACGATGTGTTTGAGTTCACCTGAGTCTAACAGAGTCCTGATTTAGACCTGATCTAGACCCTGTTTGGTCCAGGTTCAGTTCTGGTTTAGTTCTGGTGGAAACAGTTGAAACTTTCTCCACATTCTGGTTTAGTTCATTTGCAAGTGACACAAGAGAAAACTGTGATAGTCCTGGTTTAGTCTGACTTGAAACCTGGGTTTACACTCGGTTTAGACCTGGGTTTAATTTGGGTTTAGACCCGGTTTAGACCCAGTTTAGACCTGGTTCAGACCTGTTTTAGACCCAGATCAGACACAGTCCAAAGTGGCAGTACTGTATGTTTTTTACCTCTGAATATTCAAGTATAATGGAGCTTGTTGCCTGTGGGGTGTGGGGTTGGGGTGTGGGGTGGGGTGGGTGTGGGTGGGGTGGGGTGGGGTGGTGGGGGTGTGGGGTGGGGGGTTGGGGTGTGGGTGGGGTGTGGGTGGGGTGGGGTGGGTGGGGTGGGTGGGTGGGGGTGGGTGGGGTGTGGGGTGGGGTGTGGGGTGGGTGGGGTGGGGTGGGGGTGTGGGTGTGGGGTGGGGTGGGGTGGGGGTGGGGTGGGGTGGGGGTGGGGTGTGGGTGGGGTGGGGGTGTGGGGTGTGGGGTGGGGTTGGGGGTGGGGTGGGGTTGGGGTGTGGGGGTTGGGGTGTGGGGTGGGGTGGGGGTGGGGTTGGGTGTGGGGTGGGGTGTGGGTTGGGGTGTGGGGGGTGGGTGGGGTGGGTGTTGGGGTGTGGGGGGTGTGGGGTGGGGTGGGGGTGGTGGGGGTTGGGGGGTGGGGTGGTGGGGTGGGGGTGTGGGGCAGTTCTGCTGTGAGTTCTTGTAGAGTAGAAAATGAGACTAGAGAAACTCCAAGTGCAATAAACTAAACAAACTGAACAAAGTGTAGAAGTATAAAAAGAACATGTGATCTTTTCTTTGTTCCAAAGTGTATTTTTGTGTATTTTTGTTAGAACATTCTTCTTATAAACGTCAAATCTTGTTTTATGTGACGACTGCATTTTTATTCTGGTCATTATTTGATAAAACTTTGACCGTTCAGTTTTTCAGACATTTAATACATTAAAATATTATTGTTAATTCAGTTGTCTTCCGCGTGTTGTGTTGTTGTTGTGTGTTGTTGTTGTTGTGTTGTTGTTGTTGTTGTTGTTGTGTTGTTGTTGTTGTTGTGTGTTGTTGTTGTTGTGTGTTGTTGTTGTGTGTGTTGTTGTTGTGTTGTTGTTTGTGTTGTTTTGTTGTTGTGTTGTTGTTGTGTGTTGTTTTGTTGTTGTGTTGTGTAAAAATCAGCTCCTGGTTTAGATTTTCATAAAACACAAACCAAAATGAGACGTCAGATCAAATGTATTTCCTTTACGTGGGTGATTTATTTACATGATATTTTCATAAAATTTGCATATTAATGAGTCTTTGATGAGGTTACAGTCGTTGTCTGAAGGTGGCGCTGTTCTGCAGCAGAATCTCCACAATAAAAAAAAAATACACGATCAAAAATGATCAAAAATTTAAACTTTAAAAGTGAAATTCAAGAGTTTTGAGTTTTTGAGGTTCTGATCCACTTTATTCCCCGTTGTTAAAATAAATAGGTTTAAAATGAAAAAAGTCCAAGTGAGAACTGAACCAGGACTGGACCCTGAGTTTGGACCCTGGTCTGGTCCAAGATCCAGGTCCAGTTTGTCTGCTCTGGTTTTTCCTTCAGTGTGTTAAATAAATAAGGTTCATGTGGAGACTGGGTCCTGGTCTGGTCCTGGTCTGGCCTCTGGTCCAGGACTTGGATCTGGGTCAGACTCAGGACTGGACCAGTTCTAGTTTGGACATGTTTGAAGGAGCAGCGACGGTTTCTCCCGACATGAACAACTCCTGCAGAAAAACACACAAAAACAGAAGAAAAGTTAAAACTTTACACCTCCAACATCACAACACCTACACTGACGCAGTAACAGTACTAACAGTACTAACTACTAACAGTACTAACAGTACTACCAGTACTAACAGTAGTACTAACAGTACTAACAGTAGTACTAACAGTACTAACAGTAGTAGTAAACAGTACTAACAGTACTAACAGTAACAGTAACAGTACTAACAGTACTAAACAGTAGTACTAACAGTACTAACAGTACTAACAGTAGTAGTAACAGTACTAACAGTAGTAGCAGTAGTACTAACAGTACTAACAGTAGTAGTAACAGTACTAACAGTACTAACAGTAGTACTAACAGTACTAACAGTACTAACAGTAGTACTAACAGTACTAACAGTACTAACAGTACTAACAGTAGTACTAACAGTACTAACAGTAGTACTAACAGTACTAACAGTAGTACTAACAGTACTAACAGTACTAACAGTAGTACTAACAGTACTAACAGTACTAACAGTACTAACAGTAGTACTAACAGTAGTACTAACAGTAACTAGTACAGTAACAGTAGTAGTAGTAACAGTATAACAGTAGTAATAGTAGTAGTAGCAGTAGTAACAGTAGTAATAGTAGTAGTGAGTGTTCTTACCTTGTCATAAATGACTTTGACGATGAGTGAGCAGCTCGGACACGTGGCCACCTCCTCCCCGTTCTCCAAGTCCTCCTGGAAAAAAAAAAAAAAAAGACGTGGTTTAGTCCTGGTTTAGTCCCGGTTTAGTCCTGGTTTAACTGTTGTGGTTGTTGAATGTAATTTTCTCTTAAACTCATTCTGTTTCATTTATAAAGTTTGACAATAATTTTTATTTATAAAGTGACATTTGTCTGCAACATCAGGACAAATGAAGCAGAATTCCACCGGACCAGGACCCGGACCAGGACCAGGAT